TATGTATATATATATATATATATATATATATGTATATATATATAACTGTACTATATAGATGTGCTATCTCATACTTTTCTTTCTGAAAGCATTTACCATAACCTTGTGTTAATTATATAAGAAACGTATTTACTCCTGTTCAGTGGTACTCTTCTATGACACACCAGGTGTCAGAATATGTCCTCTCCATAAAGTATTTTACAGCACCATTACCCTTGCATTTGTCCCCACGACTGCATGGATAAGGTCATCTGTTGTTATCCCACCTCAATCATCCACTGTCTCCATTTTGTTCCATCTTCTTTCAGCTGTTTTTCACCACTTTCATTCCATCATCACCTAATATCCTCCTGGAAGCCCGCTCTGGCTTCTCTCTGAATTGACCCAGGTCAGTCTGCAACCAGATATCTGTTTGTATTTGTTTTGTTGTTCACTTTTGTGTCACATGATATACATTCTGTTGTGGGAAAAAAGTGTTCAACTATTCACTCCAGTTACATAATCAGAGATCAATGGATTTAACTCAGTTGGCATTTTATTCCAAACTTTGCAAAGAGAGACATCAAACAGCTCTTATTTCATCGTAATCAGCCCTGTTCTGATCTGGCCAGTGTGTTTCTTCTTTACTTACAATAATGGAAAGTAGTCAGAGTCATAAACTTTACAGACACTTTCGTTAAACAGTAACATGCTATGGATAAATCTTGAGAAAGAATTTGGATTTGTATGGGAATAAGTATTGTATGTAAACACTCCTCACTTTGAAATTTTGTGGCCTTGAGGTGAAACAGACTGAGTAAAAATATATTTCAGTGGATAAATAGCATAACTAGATATATGAAATAAGAGAAATCTAAATTTTTCGACCAAACACTCACAATCTGTTTAATTACAAGTCGTCATAAGGATAATCACACCACAAAACTGCAAAAGGTTAAGCTTTCTTATTTATGTGGTTAAATAAAACACATTTCATGTTAAGGAATATTCAGTTTGGCAAAAGTGTTGAATCAAAACTAACTGTACAGCCTCCCATTCCGACAGGACAACACTCCCCTGTGTCGTCTAACATTTCAGAAGGAAGGACTATATATAGTGAAAAATCTCTTTTAATTCCTCCTTGAAAATTTTATTTTAGATCATCTGGAGTTGCTGAATTCAGCTCAGCTTGTACATTTTGTGAATGTTTTTGTCACAGGGATGGCCACTGAAGAAGGGTTGAAAATATTTGGCCAGGCCAAACCTTTCTTTGTTGAATTGACATTATATTTTAAAAGTTACCCACAATACCAAATAACAAATGAACCTGTTTATTTTATTGGTTAATTTGTGATGATGGGTCAAAAACATCCTCCATTACTCCCAGGAAGCCTTTAGGGATGCAATTAGCGATAAATGGATATGGAAATGATCATGTGGTGATCACAGGTTCCTCCTTTTTTCGCCGAATCTCAAACAAGAAACCTCACAGTGACCTTGTTTTAAATAATTACTCCTAGTGAGACAGCTGGTTTCTAAATAAATGTGATCTCATAAATTTTTAGGATTTATTTACAGATGTTTTGAAGGAATGGCAACAAATGTGTCTACCTCAATTTTATAATGTTCTTATATATGTTTTTGCTTGGATAAGAAAGCTATTTTTTGGTTTTAAGTGAGGATTGACTAATAAATAATAAAACAATTTAGGTCATTTCATCCCATGATAAAATGTATTTGTTCAACCCAATATTAAGGCTGAACCACTGATGTTGTAAACTTTATGAAAAAAATAAATCTATCTTGTTTTGTTGCCACTTTTAACATTAATCGTTAACTGATAAAGGTGAGAAAACAGCCATCAAACGTATTCGAGTAAGAAAGGAAACTCTGATTGAATTAGTTTAATTAAAACTGAGAGCAGCACCTTTTAGTCCTTTGAATGTATTAGAAGTCAGTTTCAAGACACATTAGCAACAAAAAAAGGACTTTTCTCCTTGCTAAGGAGAGAAGTGTGCAAGGCCATTCATTGATGTTAAAATAACCTCTAACCGTGGTCATAATTGCTGTTTCCATGGTGGTCTGAAAGATTTACTGCTATTAATGGAAAATCACAAGCCTGTAATGATGTTGGCAAGAAGAGATACAAACTCTTCTTGTTAGAGGCTTTCAGTGCTCTTGAGAGATAAAAAATCTGATTTGAATTCTAATTTCTGGGATGTTCTCTGAAATATTTTACAACAGTTCAATTACAGGTTTTAAGATAAAAAGGAAAACGTTTTGTTTGTTTTCCTTCACAGCCTAAAAACTGCAGGTATTAGTTGGGTGCAAACAGACATTGAGTCTAACACAACAGAACGGCTTGTTTTAAATTTCTCTATATGGGGTTGGAAAATTTTTTGGTCACCTTGTGTTTCTTAATATTTTAACATCTAAAGAACTGATTGATAGTTTATTAGATTATTGGAAGTTTTGCTGTACATTATATTAACCACTTTTTTTTTCTGTGAGTCGCTTTTTATTAACAGCTTCTTGAGGAGAAAAAGTGCAGCAAATCCCTGACAAAGCACCTCAGAAATGTATCATCTATCCTTTCATCCATCCATTGAACATTATTGTGAAACAGAACTTATAAGTTTCTTCTTTATTTGGTTTTATTAAAATTGTATCATTACACCAAGACTGATATCAGATAAAGAGAACTGTAGTCCATCCATCCATCCATCAATCTATTCATTTTCTGTCACACTTATCCCTGCTGGAGACGTGAGGGGCTGGTTGTCAGTCCATCACAGGGCAAAACAGAGACAAACAACCATTCACAACAAAACACACAAAACAGTCATGTTTTTGGACTGGGGGAGGAAGCCGGAGTACCCAGAGAGAACCCACACATGCAGAGCTAGAAGATGCAAATTCCGTGCAGACAGACCCTGGGCCAAGAATTGAACCTGGACCCTTCTCGCTGCATGGCAACATTGCTACCCACTGCCCACTGTGAAACTGTCAGTACAGATTAAAGTTTTGTTAATTTTAGCCAATACAATTTTAGATGAATTTGTATCAAAGAGCAGGTAATGGTTCAGCCTAGTTTAGTTTGAGATCATGTGACATAAATAAAGTGTCAAGTTGCAATAGTTAAGCAGAGCTTTGTTGTTTCTGCTGCCATCAGACAATTGAAATGTGTACTGGAGGTATGAGAAATGTAGTTCTCATTTGGCAGAATTTCTCAAAATGTCTCCAAACATTGTTTGTCAATATTAAGGTGATAAAATATCTTTAATATCACATTCTTTAAAGACTTATGTAATATTTACTTTCTTTTCAAATACAGTCCTACCTTTTTTTCAATCACATTTCTGACTGATAAGGTTATCTGTAATCTCCTTCTCTGTAGGTATCCTCTCTGTGCTCTCCCTGTCTTCTGAGTGCACCTCCTTAGCTTCAGAGCTGCCAAAAGTGTCCTACGTCAAGGCCATTGACATTTGGCTCATTGCTTGCCTGCTGTTTGGCTTTGCCTCACTGGTGGAGTATGCTGTGGTTCAAGTGATGCTCAACAGTCCAAAGCACATCGAGGCAGAGAAGGCCAGGATAGCTTCCAAGGAGAAGGCTGCAGGAAAGAGTCCAGGTGTCAGGAACAACACCATCAACGGGACTGGAGGGACACCTCTTCATGTCAGCACCTTACACGTTAGTGAATGGCTTTGATACATGAATGTGTGTGAAAGGCTGTCAGGAAAGCATGAGGTTAAAGCCACACAAACCATTTTGCTTTTTGGCTTTCTCATCATCTGGGCTGAAGCTGCACTATGCCAGTTTAAATAGGCAAAAACTTGAATTTACAGCATATTCTAACTATTTTCTGTCATTATATATATATATATATATATATATATATATATATAACCAGGGCTGAAACACGCAGAACTCCTCAAGGGGAAAGGTTAAGAATCCGTGTGCTATCTACAACAGAGAATTAGAGCCAGGCTAGAATTTTTTTTTCTTCGGGAATAAAGTCTTAATATTACGAGAATAAAGTCATAATATTATGGGAATATAGTCGCAATATTATGAGAATAAAGTTGATAAACGAGAATGAACTCATCGTACCACAAGCCAACCAAACAGCAACCTCAGTCCACTTTGACATACTGCCCAATTTGATGCTGGTGTGCTAAAAATCTATTTTCTAATAGAAAAAAAACAATATATTGGATAATAAATTTAAATAGTTTTTTTTTTCTAAATAGGAACAGATTAATTGATGTTACATAATGTTTTTGCCATTGAATGATAATAATGTTACACCTGGATGGGACTTTAAATGTGACTTTTCTGGTTTTAAATTCTAAACATCTAAGAGCGAATACCGGACCAAAAGCCAAAGCCATATTTCTTGTTTAGCTTTACAGTTATTTGCAGAAAATTATTCAAAATTACAATGACAAAGTAGAACAGTTTCTAGTGAAAGTCTATGCCATTAACCATCAAATAGCACCACACATTTGTTTCAATCATATGGTTTCAGTTGCTTTTATATTCAACCACCATTATTCTGGTGCCCCTAAAGTAAATCGTGCACAAAAGTTAAAAGTCCTTAGAATAGATAGGGTTATCTCTTTGTAGTTTAAATCCTTGCTGAAACAATCGGTAATATGATTTACTTCAGCAGGGACAAGAAAACTAGTTAGAATGATGGGAAGATGCCCAAAAGATTATCCTAAATGAAAAACCTTTAGAGGTTACAAAAGACTTAAAGATTAATTGGAGGTTTACCCTCTACTCAGAAATGCCAAAAAAAGAATGGTTTATAATTGATTTGAATCAGAACATATTCAGGCTTTAGCATGGGACAAAAAAAAAAAAACTTGGCAACTTAAGAGAAATAAAAAAAAGTTTATTCAGTAAACCTCTAATGCTGTTGAACACATACGCAAGGAATAAAAGGACTGCATATAAATGGAAGTTATTTTTTAAATAAATAAATAAATAGACATTGTTAAATAAATAGACATTGTTTTTTTTCTTTAAAGCGGTATTACAGAATGTTCTAACGATACAGCCATTTGGGGCCCAAAACACAGATGTCATTGTCTGCTCCTTCCTGTAGTTTGCACTCGTACTTAAATTTTTTTTTTTTTTATGTTTTTCACCTTACCTGGAGTTGCAATTGGTTTCTGAGTTAAGCTGGAGGATGGTTCTGTGTGTCCACAAAATCCATCTAGAATGTAAGGCTTCCATTCTTTGCTAGGTCGGACTCATGGACGTGCTTGATGTCACATTTGCAGAACAATGTGGGAACTTCTGACTCAAAATAAATTCAGGAATAGGCTACAAGCTTATAGATGCATCTACTCTGAACTACCGACGTCTTAGTCTCTTCATTAAACCATGTTTAAGTCATAAAGGGTAGAATAAAAAGGTTATTTTACAGATATTTTTCAGTGAGACCTTGAATAATGTCTCTTTAACACTGTAATGCCAAATGTATCATATTTGATACATACGGTTTCTGAAATGTTTTGCGTCTGACACCTTTTGCATAATTTAATACAATAGGAGTTTGCTCAAACTCCTATTGTACACAATCAGATATACCTGATAACAGAGGGCAGAAGACTACACAAAAAATAATCTTGACTTATCGCATAGTAATAAATTATTAATATCAAAAATGCATTTCTGTTTTTTCTTTTTACATATTTTGTTAAAAGGCCAAATAAGGACTTCAAACCAAAAAAAAGTAATTTTCTGTTTTGTTTTATTCTTGGATCAGGCTTTAAAGGGTTAAGCATGTTGTTGTAATCTGATAACATTTTAGAAGCAACAGTAATGTTGTGTGCTAAAGGTAAAACAAGTCCCATCAGGAAACACTGTTAGTGCCATCTGCAATGTTTTTTTGTGTTAATAAAATCCACTAATGTTATAGGTCAACACAGAACAATTTTAAGATTAAAGCTTTAGGGCTACAGCAGCCATTCAGAATTTGGCTGGTCCTTGGCTAGTCCCCTACTATTCCTTTTTAAACATCTAAAATATTCTTTCTGTCATGATTTGTGGACATTAAGATCTAAAGAGAAGCGTTATCTCCTGTTCAGACCCTGTAATTCAGTGAAAGGGTGGAGTAAGAGTAAAAAAATATGCACACCCATGAGAAGCCAGTGGCTGGAAGTTGGAGGGGGTTTTGCTGCCATTTGACTGGCTTTTGACTGGGAAGGGCCATTTTAGATAGCTGCTACTGTATTCTCCTTACAACAAAAACCAAATGACATCTCTGTTGAGTCTGCAGATTCTGAGAGGTTGTGTTTATAAAGTGCAGATGAAATGGTGTTTCTTGCAGGTGTTCAGTTGATGAGAAGTGACGGAAAAATATTGATGGCAGCTATGAAACAAGCAAAAAGTGACAGATCGACTGTAAAAAGCAGCAGAACAGGATGTGAAGGATGTTTTAATCTTTAGCTACAGATGTGTTGTTCTCTTTGTGTTTGACTCAGTTTCATGCAGACTAATATTTTACAAGAACAAATGCTAATTTGCCTTTTATAATCAAGTGGAGTGTTTAGAAAAATAAAAGCTTATACGATGGGTATAGGATTGTTTGTTTTACCAATATAGCAGGTGAAAGTTTTTACTGAACTACAGATGAAGTTATGTTGATTCAGTTGTTTCTTCCTCCTGGGCTTTGGGGAAATATTTTGCATTCTGTTTTCTCCCAACTCTTAGGGTTCAAAGACAGAAAATTGAACATCTCTCTTCCACACACAACATATTTTCCCTTCTTGTCTCTTTCTGTCCCCCAGGTGGGTGAGACCCGCTGCAAAAAGGTGTGCACATCCAAATCTGACCTGAGGACCAACGATTTCAGCATTGTGGGCTCACTCCCGCGGGACTTTGAGCTGTCAAACTTTGACTGCTACGGGAAACCAATTGACACCGGCTCTGCTCTTGGTAAATCTCAGGCGAAGAACAAGAAACCGCCTCCTCCGAAGCCAGTGATCCCATCCGCTGCCAAAAGAATTGACTTGTACGCCAGAGCACTGTTCCCTTTCTCCTTCCTCTTCTTTAACGTGATTTACTGGTCCATATACTTGTGATTACCCAATACTATTTTCCCAGTGCTGTAGTTTTATTAGTTTTTTATTGATTGAACTATAAAAAAAACCTACGTTTGAAAGTGAGCATTCAGAGAAGTGAACGTTGCCCGTAAATAATTACATCAGTAAAGAAAGTTAAATAACTATTTATACATTAATTCCCACTTAAGCTATTTCTGCAAAATATCTAAGAAATATATAGTTTTATTTTATCTAGTGTAGGGGAAGCAGAACCTTATTATGAATTACCTCATGAACTAAATGTATGCTTAAAGAACGTTTGCTAGAATGCAATGGTTATGATAATAAGTTAGTAAAAAATTCCCAAGGAATGAGTAAGAGGAGAGCTGAATATGCAAAGAAAAACTGATGATGGTTTGCAAATTGCTATTTTATTTATTTTGCCCTTTCCCTGTTTGTGAAAGCTCAAAAGTCACATAAGTTTAGGCACTTTATTTTGGCTTCATTGCGAAGTGTAATTACCTAGCATGTTATAAATAGCGCATGTAAATAAAGAGAAAACCTAAAATATTTATTAAAAAAAAAGATGTTTTTGAAATTTAGAAATTCCTATGATTTGTTTGAAGAAGAATCGTGGATATGTGAAGCACTCCTTTTCCTGCCCAGATGGTCATGTGACACTGCCACTCCTACAACTATAACACTTGACTCATCATACCTGTAGCCTGTGCAAGAGGGTCACTACTGAGCTGTGAGTGACCATATGTTTGTGAGATTTTCAAGCTCAAAAAGCAATTTATTAAATGACTTTCCACCATTTGATGTTACTAAAAATAAAGACGAGAAACTTGACTTCGGTTGTCATTATTTATCAAACAACAATTTTTCAGTTGTCAGTTATAGATCTCTTCACAAGGGCATCCCACTGTGCTTTACATTAAAGAAAAACAGGAATGTATTATGCATAAACAAATTCCAAAACGATCCAAAACGCAAAAATAAGAACATTACTTCAAGGAAATACATCATGAAAATTAACTTTTCTATGAAATTACAGATTTAAAATTCCATTAGAAAGAAAATTAATAAATTACAGTCATTAAATATAGTACCATAAAGATACAGACACAATTAACATCAGATCAAACCTTGGAATACATTTTTATCACTAAAAGTCAGGTTTAAGGCGCTACCCAATAGAATAAGCCATTAAGTTCAGGAAAGCTTTTCTGCTAATGAGAGCCGTAATCAGAAGGAACAAGTATTTGGCTTTGTCTAAAGTTATAATTCTTCTCATCTTGCAGGCAGAGCCATATAAGTAAGAGAGTTCTGAAAACTTTATTGATTACAGTGGACGACATTTCAAGGAGCAACAGCAACACACAGCTTAAATAGTCTAAGGGAAGTCGGCTGCTCATGCTAACATTGGCATAGACATTAGTAGTGCATGGGAGCAGAAAATAATATTTAGGTGCCCTAATTGTCTTTGATTATGTAAACAAGATATTAACATCTATAAACGTTACATTTCAGTCAACTGAATATCATTGAAATGGGCTCTAGATAAAAATAAACAGTTCACATAGTTAAAAACAACACTATAATGTGGAGTACAACCTTTCAATCAGTAAGCTTTTTCAGAATGGTTATCTATTTTTCAAAATATTCAGCAGGAGTATGTAAACGGGCCTCAAAGCACTTTTGCTGAACTCCCTGACGCCCTAGCTACCTAATTTTCTCAGTCTTCCCCTGGTGCAACTCTCCTATCTGTATGGCTCTGATTGCAGGTAAATTTGTCTTGACTGGTTAACACCCTTGGCATGTTCAGCATATTTGTTTTTTGTCTGTATTAATCTCTTCAGGTCTTACAACAGCTGCTTGACCGCTGATAATTTGCCAAATAATTCATTATACAGATCCTGCTCAGGAAATGATTACTGATTAACAATGTGACTTACATTGTCAGACATGTCTCAAGCCTAATGAGCTGAGAGATTTGCTGATTTTCTGTCAAAACACCAAATTTACGTTTATGAAGATTGCCATTTAGCTAAATGTTGATTAGTTATGAAAAAAAACACAATTCTGACAAGAGTTATCAGTTTTCTTCTACTATAGGTTGGTTTAAAATGAGAAAACAAGACTTGTTTATATATCTGCGGCTACCATGGTTACAGACAGCGAGGAGAATTTTTGTCTGACTGGCCAATAATCACACAGGGAGAGAAAATAGAAGTTAGAGTCATTTGCAGAAAAGGCCTCTGTAATGAAAGAGGAAACATGCGTCATAGGGACAAGTGTTTGTAATACAGATCTGCAGAATTCAAATCAATTGGGGGCTATATTCTATATTTGACTACTTTAAACACTCAGCTCAGGACTGACTCACACTCTACAAGAAAGAATTTGCATTGCAGTGCCCCCCTATGGTGACACTCATGAAGTAATGAGGAGATCAAATGTTCTCTAGGGAATTTAGCAGATCTGACAACTGCGAAAGAGGGTTTAGAATTGATATAATTAATAAAAAAGAGTAAGTTTGTACTGTGATTATTACAAATATGAATACAATAAGCCATGTCAAGGAGATTAGTATGTTTTTAACCTCTTTTTTTTTTTGACGTGTCACGGAGTGTTTTGTATTAGCTTTGATTTAACCATTGCTGTTGGTGAAAAACAAAATCAAAAAGTCATGAAATTCATAGCATCAGGATTAAAAATCTCAGAGGTATGACTCAGGACTGTGAGTGCAGTTGTGTGTTTTTGTGTTCTCCACCCACACGCCACAGCACCCTGCCAGTGCCAAGCACAGTAACCTATATCAAACAGGGTGCTTTCTAATCCAACAAGACCTCACACCAGGCTTTCACCCGACCCACCGAGAAAACCACCATGACAGTCAGGGCAATGATTAGTGAAGGCGCTGTGGGGGAGGATATGCCACACGGCTTATTGAAGGCTCATTTATGGTCGACAAGGTCCCCACACATCCATTTTGTGTTTTTACTGTAGAGGACCTTCTCTGGTTGTCGTGAGCTCTGTGAAACTGATAATAATGTATTCTGTCTAACCTTGAAAGCTTATTCAGCAATAAATTCCTCTGTGAGACTTATTTATTTTGCTCTTAATTAAATTGTTTCAAAACTTAAGATACTAAAAACTTTTAAAAAATCTTGATATATTCTAGCAAAAATTATGTCACTTGTTATTTTATTCACGTATTGAATAGAAAGATAATGAAACATAATGATACTGTATGTGTGATGTCAATTTTTTTTCATGAGTAATTTTAATGCTTGAGGAAATTGTCGTTTCTGCACATAATACAAAGAAAATAATAATGACCAAATCACAATATTTTTACAATATTTTTCTTGCCTGTCCAATGCTTACTGAAAATAATCATCACTCAATCATTTAATATTTCCTCATGTCACCAAAAAACACCATTTGTCTGCAAAAAGATCCAGAAATGCCACATAGGTATGAAAAACAAGCATCTTACTGTACTGCTTCAAAGGGACATTTCTCCTACAAATTGGTGCTGACCTATCTATGGTACTTATTGAATATAGTTTTTTGATAGTAATTATTTTCGCTGTGCTTTGCAAACTGATTAACCAATATAAAACCATTGGAACTTGTTCTACAAAAATAATTTATTTATTACAAATGGATCAATATTTAATGAATAAATACATTTTATCTAGTTGTAAATGAATTTAGCAGTGGTACAAAATGGTTAAATGACATTGTTGTGGATTTTCTACTACTGACTTGGAGCTAATTTTGAGCTATCTTTAGTTGTTTCCGTGCAGTGAACTCAGTTTATTTAAAGCAAATTTTTACAAAAAAACTAATTCAGATTAATCTCAGCACAGATTATAAAATACAAAGAAAAAAACAAGCAGTAAGACAGATAAACTAAAAACTGACTGAGTGGTAAATTGTAGATCAATAAAATGGGAATGTTTAACTAGAACGGTTGAAGGCAATCCTAAACAAATGTGTTTTTAGTCTTGATTTTTCCGCACTTTCAGGCTTTCCGCAGTTTTCTGGAAGTTTGTTCCGGATAAATGGGGCATAGGAACTAAATGCTGCTTCTCCATGTTTAGTTTTGGTTTTAGGTATGCAGAGCAGGCTGGAGCCAGAAGACCTGAGTGGTCTGGAGCGGAGGTCTTCAACAGGGGGTCCGCGACCCCTAGGGGGTCTGTGGAGGTATTGCATTGGGGTCGCGAAAGTTTTGCAATAACTGCAATGTTTTCCACTAATTGAAATGTCTTTAAATCCACACTAACATGAATTCAACACACTGTAGTAAACAGATAAATGGAGGCAGAAGATGTCTTTCAGTCATCAATGCACACATTCACCGACACACAGGAGCTCTTTCAAGCTGGGCACCGTTTAATTCACAACACCTGTCTCATCAATCAGGAATCAAAATCAGAAATACTTTAAGAATCAAATTTACTTTTGTTATATTACTCCATATGTAATAAAGTGACTATAGGACCAGTTTGATATAACACAATTTCATACAATATATATAATTAGGGGGTCCCCGCTCCATCTTGCTATCAGTTTGGGGGTCCTTGGCCTGGAAAACATTGAAGACCCCTGGTCTGGAGGGTTGATACACTGTTAGCAAGTCTGTGATGTATTTAGTTGCTAAGCCATTCAGAGAGTATTTTAAAGTTTATTCTCTGAGATACAGGGAGCCAGTGTAAGGACTTTAGAACTGCGGTGATGTGCTCTACTTTCTTAGTCTTAGAGAGGACACAGGCAGCAGCATTCTGGATCAGCTGCAGCTATCTGATCCACAACGGCTCCTAAAAAATGTACTGTTTAACCTCTAGTTACATAGCTTCTTATAAGAAAAAAAATCACATTTTGGAAAATATAGGTGTCCTTAATGTAACTGATAATAAACAACATTTGAAGAATCTAAAACAAGAGTTGCTAGTATATAATTTTATTTGTCTCAAAGACAATACATTAGTTAGAAATGTCAATAGAAATGTGAAAAACAAAAGTAACTCATGTGACCAAAGGCAGAAATAGTATTTTTGAGTTGGTCAAAATAATGCTCAGTGCACAACTGTAAATATTGAGTGATACAGCACAGACTGGTGCAGTGAAAGTTTTTACATTTTGTCAAATTTACACCATAATATTAACTTTTATTTGCTGACAATTTGTCCTAATAGCAGGCTGTAATTGGCCTTTAGGCTTGTAAGGTCTGGTTACATGTTCACATTAACCCCTTGTTTATTTACACAGCCTTTTAGCC